TCTATCCTGCACACCTGCCATGCAACGCACATGCAACACACATGCAACACACATGCAACACGACATGCAACATGAGTTTTTTACCTGTAAATTTACAGTCAACGTGCAGGATTTGACGTTTGCAGCCCCAACTCCGGTCTTATAATGGAAAGTGTAGATTTTTGCCCCCGCGGCCACATTGCTTGGAAATTTACAGGGAACATGCTCATGTTGCATGTCTGTTGCATGTGTGTTGCATGTGTGTTGCATGTGTGTTGCATGTGTGTTGCATGTGCGTTGCATTGGCAGGCCCATACAAATCACACCCGTGAAGTGGGGAAGTAGAAGACAGCGTGGCAGGCGCAAGAGTTGTAGGTGGCAGGGGCGAAGCTGAGCGCCTTGGATATTACATTGTGGTGGTCGCCCGTAGCATCCACCTTTGTGGGGTTGTCGCGTATTATATAGAATAAGCTTTGACAACAATCTTGGGTAAATTTCACAAGCTGATGGTTAGCCCTCAGCATCCACCTTTATTGGGCTGTCACAGATTACAGAAGGGCATGCTTTGACAATACGTAGCTTTCAGAAGCTGATGTTGTCGCATCGATGTGTGTGTATGTGTGCTGATCTACATCCACATGCAAATCAACAACAGTTAAAATGAACTCGGAACCAAAAAAAAAACTTCACCGGGTTCTTCAAAAAAAACAGCCATCCACAGGAAACCACAGAGATACCCTGCTTACCCCCGCAACCCCCAACTTCAATGTTGTGATCGGAAGTGCCGAGCATCATCAACAGAAATGGCTGTTTTTTTTGAAGGCCGCCAAAACACAAAATTCAGAAGACAACATTGAATTGGGGGACGGGGGGGGCATGACCTGTGTGGTGTGGTACTTCATGGGATGGCTGTTTTTTTTGAAGAACCCGGACTCAGAAAAGACACAATAGGATGGACCCATGGCTGCAGACAAACGCGAGAATGATGACGCCACTGTGTCAGAGAAAGCATCGGGATCAGTTTGGGCGGGTGTTTGTGTGTGGGTGTGTCTGTTTACTTGCGCGGGCGCATATGTGCTAATATGGGTTGTGCTAAGTGAAATACATGCAGTGACAGTCTTGTCTTGACACCTTTTTGACCTGATTCTGCAATGTCGTTGGGTGCACTGGCTGTCATTCTGCGTGGCAGGCGCGCCACTTTGAGAGCGTGACTGCTCTATCCTGCACACCTGCCATGCAACGCACATGCAACACACATGCAACACACATGCAACACACATGCAACACACATGCAACACGACATGCAACATGAGCTTTTTACCTATAAATTTACAGTCAACGTGCAGGATTTGACGTTTGCAGCCCCAACTCCGGTCTTAGAATGGAAAGTGTAGATTTTTGCCACCGCGACCACTTTGCTTGGAAATTTACAGGGAAAATGCTCGTGTTGCATGTGTGTTGCATGTGTGTTGCATGTGTGTTGCATGTGTGTTGCATGTGTGTTGCATGTGCGTTGCATTGGCAGGCCCATACAAATCACACCCGTGAAGTGGGGAAGTAGAAGACAGCGTGGCAGGCGCAAGAGTTGTAGGTGGCAGGGGCGAAGCTGAGCGCCTTGGATATTACATTGTGGTGGTCGCCCGTAGCATCCACCTTTGTGGGGTTGTCGCGTATTATATAGAATAAGCTTTGACAACAATCTTGGGTAAATTTCACAAGCTGATGGTTAGCCCTCAGCATCCACCTTTATTGGGCTGTCACAGATTACAGAAGGGCATGCTTTGACAATACGTAGCTTTCAGAAGCTGATGTTGTCGCATCGATGTGTGTGTATGTGTGCTGATCTACATCCACATGCAAATCAACAACAGTTAAAATGAACTCGGAACCAAAAAAAAAACTTCACCGGGTTCTTCAAAAAAAACAGCCATCCACAGGAAACCACAGAGATACCCTGCTTACCCCCGCAACCCCCAACTTCAATGTTGTGATCGGAAGTGCCGAGCATCATCAACAGAAATGGCTGTTTTTTTTGAAGGCCGCCAAAACACAAAATTCAGAAGACAACATTGAATTGGGGGACGGGGGGGGCATGACCTGTGTGGTGTGGTACTTCATGGGATGGCTGTTTTTTTTGAAGAACCCGGACTCAGAAAAGACACAATAGGATGGACCCATGGCTGCAGACAAACGCGAGAATGATGACGCCACTGTGTCAGAGAAAGCATCGGGATCAGTTTGGGCGGGTGTTTGTGTGTGGGTGTGTCTGTTTACTTGCGCGGGCGCATATGTGCTAATATGGGTTGTGCTAAGTGAAATACATGCAGTGACAGTCTTGTCTTGACACCTTTTTGACCTGATTCTGCAATGTCGTTGGGTGCACTGGCTGTCATTCTGCGTGGCAGGCGCGCCACTTTGAGAGCGTGACTGCTCTATCCTGCACACCTGCCATGCAACGCACATGCAACACACATGCAACACACATGCAACACACATGCAACACACATGCAACACGACATGCAACATGAGCTTTTTACCTATAAATTTACAGTCAACGTGCAGGATTTGACGTTTGCAGCCCCAACTCCGGTCTTAGAATGGAAAGTGTAGATTTTTGCCACCGCGACCACTTTGCTTGGAAATTTACAGGGAAAATGCTCGTGTTGCATGTGTGTTGCATGTGTGTTGCATGTGTGTTGCATGTGTGTTGCATGTGTGTTGCATGTGTGTTGCATGTGCGCTGCATTGGCAGGCCCATACAAATCACACCCGTGAAGTGGAGAAGTAGAAAACTGCGTGGCAGGCGCAAGAGTTGTAGGTGGCAGGGGCGAGACTTTGGAAGCTGAGCGCCTTGGATATTACATTGTGGCGGTGGCCCGTAGCATCCACCTTTGTGGGGTTGTCGCATATTATATAGAATAAGCTTTGACAACCATCTTGGGTAAATTTCACAAGCTGATGGTTAGCCCTTAGCATCCCCCTTTATTGGGCTGTCACAGATTACAGAAGCGCATGCTTTGACAATGCGTAAATTTCAGAAGCTGATGTTGTCGCATCGATGTGTGTGGATGTGTGCTGATCTACATCCACATGCATATTAACAACAGTTAAAGTGAACTCGGAACCAAAAAAACTCACCGGGTTCTTCAAAAAAAACAGCCATCCACAGGAAACCACAGAGATACCCTGCTTACCCCCGCAACCCCCAACTTCAATGTTGTGATCGAAAGTGCCGAGCATCATCAACAGAAACGGCTGTTTTTTTTGAAGGCCACCAAACACAAAATTCAGAAGGCAACATTGAAGTGGGGGACGGGGGGGGCATGACCTCTGTGGTGTGGTACTTCATGGGATGGCTGTTTTTTTTGAAGAACCCGGACTCAGAAAAGACACAATCGGATGGACCCATGGCTGCAGACAAACGCGAGAATGATGACGACACTCTGTTAGAGAAAGCATCGGGATCAGTTTGGGCGGGTGTTTGTGTGTGGGTGTGTCTGTTTGCTTGCGCGGGCGCATATGTGCTAATATGGGTTGTGCTAAGTGAATTACATGCAGCGACAGTCTTGACACCTTTTTGACCTGATTCCGCAATGTCGTTGGGTGCACTGGCTGTCGTTCTGCGTGGCAGGCGCGCCACTTTGAGAGCGTGACTGCTCTATCTATCCTGCACACCTGCCATGCAACGCACATGCAACACACATGCAACACACATGCAACACGACATGCAACATGAGCTTTTTACCTGTAAATTTACAGTCAACGTGCAAGATTTGACGTTTGCAGCCCCATCTCCGGTCTTAGAATGGAAAGTGTAGATTTTTGCCCCCGCGGCCACTTTGCTTGGAAATTTACAGGGAAAATGCTCGTGTTGCATGTGTGTTGCATGTGTGTTGCATGTGTGTTGCATGTGTGTTGCATGTGCGTTGCATGTGCGTTGCATTGGCAGGCCCATACAAATCACACCCGTGAAGTGGGGAAGTAGAAGACAGCGTGGCAGGCGCAAGAGTTGTAGGTGGCAGGGGCGAAGCTGAGCGCCTTGGATATTACATTGTGGTGGTCGCCCGTAGCATCCACCTTTGTGGGGTTGTCGCATATTATATAGAATAAGCTTTGACAACAATCTTGGGTAAATTTCACAAGCTGATGGTTAGCCCTCAGCATCCACCTTTATTGGGCTGTCACAGATTACAGAAGGGCATGCTTTGACAATACGTAGCTTTCAGAAGCTGATGTTGTCGCATCGATGTGTGTGTATGTGTGCTGATCTACATCCACATGCAAATCAACAACAGTTAAAATGAACTCGGAACCAAAAAAACCTCACCGGTATGACTTTGCAAAGAGGCGCAATCACAACATCTTTTGGCTCCTACTTTGACAACCTTCTGAAAACATACTTAACGCAATGCTATGGGTTTGATGTATAGATGAAACACCATCAGGTGACCCACTGGCCACTGAAGTCAAATTGCTTGAGCCAGGACAAACAAAGCGGCGAAAGGTGGGAGGCTCCTACTCTGCCCACGCTGATGTTGTGCACTAAGCTACTGACATCAAGACTGAGCCGCTCTCGCTGGAAGTGAACCATGTTGCAGGAGTGAAAGCGCCAGATGCAAGAGTTTCTCCACCAGCAGCTGAAGGCCCTAGCGATTCCTTGCCTGAAGCTGGGGCTGTTGCCGAAGGACGCATGATTTTTCTGCAGTCTTCGGAAAAATGATGCCATTGTTTGCAATCTGCCGTTTTGCACGGTTTCTTTTGACATCTTCCAATATTGGATGATTTGGGGAGCATGATGATGAGATTTCAATTTGCATCTCCAAGTCTCCAAGTCAAGTTGAGAATTCTTTTCTCAATGCGCAGACCGCAGGAGTGAAAGCACTAGATGCAGGAGTTTCTCTACCAAAAGCAGCTGAAGGCTGCATCTGGTTCAAGAGACATGTTGCTGTGTTGTTGCAGAATCCATCAAAAAAATATGGAGGTTTCCTAAAAATGGGGGTACCCCCAAATCATCCAAACTTGGTTGTTATCAATGGGAAAACCAATGGTTTGCACCCCAAAAAATGCTGCAATTAATTACTGAAAGCTGGTCCAGGCCCAGCGCCAGAATCAGAAGGAGGTGCTAGTGCGAAGGTTAATGTGGAAAAGGCCAAAACGGGCCGTTCAGTGTGACCGGAGCCCCAGAAGCGCTGGGGGTTGTGTTCAGCTCACCGTGGATGAAAGCTCCATGGTTTCCCTGCCACGAGGTAGAACTTGTGGAGGTGGTATCGACAAAGATTCCGTTCGCTGTGGCTTACAAGGCGATATCCATGAGAAGACAGATTCTGCCACTGGTGAATCAAGGATGGCTCTGTCTTGGAATGTCGTGTCAGAAAGGTTTCCATCATCAAAGGATGATAAACCAATTTCTGGGGTTACCATATTTGCAGACAAACCCATATTGAATGATTAATATTGGATACATAATAAACACATGGAGGTATCCTAAAATGAGGGGGTACCCCAGTCGTCACCATGGGTTTCGATACCAAGTCATGCTCCAAAGACTTGGATGATGAGACAAGCCTCGCAGGCTATGCAGGTGGACGATCTGTGCTTCTGTGGGTCGCGCACTCATCGAGCAATGGAAGCCAGATTGGGTTTGTCAAGCTTTGAATCTATTGATTGGATAGATAAGTACTGAAATGTATTTCAATCAATCTATTGATTTAATAGAACCAGTATGATGACCTATTAATCTATTGATTAGACATATATTTGCAATTGCAATCAATAGTTTCAAAGAAGATAAAGATCATCATGAGCTTGGTGGGACGAACCGGACAAAAGTTACCTGTAAGGACCATCAGTGGCTGGCAAAAAATCAGCATTTCATGATCACAAAGTGAGATGTTCAACAGTTTCGATCTATTTACAAACATAATATAAAATATACGTATATATATAATATATATAATATATATATAATATTATATATATAATATATATATATAATATTATATAATATATATATATATATTAATAATTATAATAATTATTATTTATTGTTTTATTATTATGTATATAGTTGGTTGGTTAGCTATCAAATGATGTGGATTTCACCATCATTTATATAGAGCTTCGAGGCAACAAAATGTGGGGGTTCCCAAGGGATCTCAAGGCCCATGCCAATTGCTTTCTGGGCAAAGTGCTGGTTGATTGTGTGCTGCAGCCTCGGTTGCTTCGTTGAACACTTTCGATGAATTTCCACAGAACAATCAGAACAGAACTGTCCGGAACTTTGGGATTTTCCATGTACATAATTATTTTCATATCCGTTCCACCTCGAAGAACTCCAGAAATGGCAACAAGGTCTGCACGTCGTGGGAGATGCAAGGGAACAGGCGAAGCATTTGTGCGAGTCTCAGCAAATTCAATGCATACTCTGTACTTTGCTGTGGGGTCCCCCAATGGCCCTTTCATTACAACATAATGATAGACCCTGGGAATTTTTGAAGCCACAGTTCTCGAGGGTCCACACATGGTCGCCAAGGGGCTGACGGATATGCACTTTATATATGATACAATGATAATATAATATATATATATATTACATAATATATATATACATACAATATATATATATATGATTATAAATAATACATATATAATACATATATGATACATATATGATACATATATAATACATATATAACACATATAATACATATTTATAATACATATACATATATATATATAATACATATATAATACATATATAATACATATATGATACATATATAATACACATAGCACATATATAATACATATATAACACATATGATACACATATATATATAATACATAATATATATAATACATATGTAATACATATATAATACATATATAATACATATATCATACATATATCATACATATATAATATACATATATATATATATATACATATGAATATCATATGTATTGTGCATATATATATATATATAATCATACATATAGAAGCCTCCAAGAAGATAGAAACATAAAACACTCGAGAATAGGCAAAAATGGTAGTAAATCAGTTTTGTTTTGGAGGTGGTTACTTTTATATTATACTCACAAAGTCAATCAAGTATATGATACCAAATTAAGGCAACACCACATTGGAACATTCCCTTTTGTAATGGATGGGCAATTGGGTTGCATCTCTTGTATTGCTGCAGGAGATTGGACAGATCCGCGTTGGATTTGAGGCACGGCGAGTATAGGGAGAGTTTCAGATAGTTCGAATGATGGTTTTGGGCTGACAATGATGGAAATGGAATGTGGCACTTCCGCTGCGGAATATGGCAGAGGCTAACTTTACATTGTCATGATTTTTTTGACCGATGAGCTGGCCAGCAACAAGTTCCATGAGCTTGGATGTGGACCAGACTAGTAGTGTGGCAGGTAGGAAATCACAAGTCTTGGCCGACACCTTATTGCTGTCATGCTTGGCTGCAACCAGCCAATTTGAAACCACCAATGCTTGCATGACTTAATGAATTTGGCATTCCGAGTACTCTACAATGCCATGAAGAAGATTTTCATGATATTTCATCATTGTAGGTATGATTCATCGTGATGTTCAGTTTCGCATGGGCTAGGCTTGCATGTGTTTTGTCTGCTGTTTAAGGTGGCTCCCAACTGAAGCTGCCCGTCCGGAACGCATTTTTTTTGGATCCTTTTGGATCATCAAAAGTGCTGATTTCACTGTGCCTGTGGCTCCTTAAATTACAGCTCCCTACAAATCTAAGGAATCGAAGGATCTTTGTATTGTAGCACATTAAACTCATATGCTATAATCAATGATATATATCGATGATATTGAATGAACTAAAGTAATCTAAAGTAACTAAATGCTCAATCATTGGATTGGTTTTAGATGGTTTTAGGGGAAGATTCACCAGGAACCCCCCATGGTTTTCATGAGGAAAGCCATGGAATTTTACCCACGGTGTCCGGAGGTTGGACCTGCGAAGTGCTGCGGCTCTCCGGAAGTGTGAGCCGAGATGGGGAGGCATGTTGCTTGTAATATTAGCATAATGAATTAGTCAATTAATTATATATATACAGTATATACAGTATAATATATATATGATATTATATATATATATGATATTATATATATATGATATTATATATATATGATATTATATATATGATATTATATATATGATATTATATATATATGATATTATATATATGATATTATATATATGATATCACATATATATATGATAATATATATATGATATTATATATATGATATTATATATATGATATTATATATATATATGATATTATATATATGATATTATATATATATGATATTATATATATGATATTATATATATGATATTATATATATGATATTATATATATATGATATTATATATATATATATATGATATTATATATATATGATATTATATATATATATGATATTATATATATATATGATATTATATATATGATATTATATATATGATATTATATATATGATATTATATATATATGATATTATATATATGATATTATATATATGATATTATATATATATGATATTATATATATGATATTATATATATATATATGATATTATATATATATATTGAGATGGGTATATTATGAGACATATATGGCGGTTATTATATACATATATATTAAATATTATCAAATATTATCAAATTACACCCATAGAACTATTGGAGATACATATCATGATACCCATATAATTATTGGGAAATCCTGCATTTGCTGTCCCTTAAACCAAAGGATTCAAAAGGAAAGCACTGGACAACATGACGTCAGATTGCGAAGCTTGATCATTGTGCGATGAACACAGCTGGATTCATACTCCATCGGATGGGCCAAATGGTGGTTTTGGCCCATATTCTTTGATGCGTTCCCACTCGTAATCCCTAGATGTGCTGCAGCTTGGCAGTTCAAGCAGAGCCGGCATCAAAGTCTAGGACCGCAGCAAGCGGACCACTTTCAGCCCTGATTTCAGCATATTTCAGCCAATTTCAAACAGCCATCAACAAGGCAGCATATTTCAGAAATTTACTTGGAGTACAAGTTAGAACTTGGCAGTCTTTTGAGTGATGTGCATCTCATTGCAATGCCTAGTTGACCCATTTTGATGTTTGGGTTATTCACCTACCTCCCAGGACTCGGACCAAGGCGGACGACTCGGGGATCACCAAGGATATCGTGGCGCCATGGGAGAGGTGAGACCAGTGAGACCCTCCTGCAATCCGAGGTTGAGGCCTAGGCCCGGAGCGAGGGTCAGTGGCTGGTGAGTTTGGATGAAAACTTGGTAAATTTTGGGGGTTTCCGAACTCATGGTACCCGAAATCATCCAACAAAAATGGATGACCTTGACTTAGTATTGAAACCGATGGTGACTTGGGGATCTTCCATTTTAAGAAACCTCCAGCTGTAAAATGGTTCGAACACTTGGTTGTAAGCATCACCAAAGCAGACGTGCCATGGTCAAAACATGGTCTGGTTTCTCAGAAAAGCAGATGGCATCCCCTATGAAATAAGGGTTTTTGCTATACTCATCTACATATGTATATATATAATAATCTATAATATATATATATTAATAATATATATATATATATTATGATAAATGGGATCCCATTCATGATGGTGGGATGACCATTCAGATAGGTTGTTGCTGGATGCTCTGCACTTTAGGCCTGCGGCCGTTCCTGGTCCAATCTTGGCGCTGCGAAGAAGGGAAGCAGCGTGTCTTGCCAAAGATATTCAAGTATAGATTCAGATTCGGACGAAGAATCCAGATCAGATGACTGAAATATATTAATAATATTAATATTAATATATATATATATATAATATATATATATATAAATATAATATATATATATTCATGATGCTGAATATCCGTGAATCTGTGATGACTATCTGAATCATCATGGAATCATGACCTGATTCCACGGATTCACACGACCAGAAACGTTTCCAGGGATCGAAGTCGCAGCCCCAGAGGCGGGAAAAATCATCGGGAACATGAGGTTTTTTTCACATGTTTTGGAGCCAATTGTCAGACAAACCATGACAAACCCCAGTATTTGTTGCTTGTCTATGAATTGTTTCATCTCTAAATACTGAATTATTTGTAATCCGTCTATCTTTGGGGAAGACTACGACTGTTTATTTTGGGGCTGGTTGCATTACATACAAGGTGGCTTCACATCTCTTCAGCCAAACTGCATCCAACTAGCCTGCGAAGTGTGCAGAAAGCAGAGTCAAGCATGCAGGAATGAATGTCTCCGCCGCGGACCTATACCATTTGCATCCATTTGCATCCATTTGCATCCATTTGCATCCATTTGCATCCATTTGCATCAATTTGCATCCATTTGCATCCATTTGCACGGTGTGACGCAGCCAGGTGGATTTAAGACTAAAGTGGAAGAACCCGAAGAACCTGCTGAGGCCATATTTCATCCAATTTGCTTTGCTATTCATTCCGGAGACATCCGGAGACAATTCCTCTGACATTTTTGAGATGTTTACTGTTTGTGGTTTTATTTTCCTTTCTCTCGCAGGCCTGGGAAAACAATTCCTGGGAACCCAGCGTCCAGAACCAGAGCGGGAGTCAGAATTGGGAAGATGAAGGCAGGTCATTCTGACATGCACTTGGGTCTTATGGTCTTGAACAAATGAACAAATCCTGAAGATTCTGGAAGGTGCACATTCTGTAGATTTACCATGATTTACCGTGATTTGCCACGGTTTATGTTGTTCCCTTTCTGATAAGTCTCATTTTTGTTGGATGTATATAAGCAACACCAGCGTAGGCTGGTTCGGCCAAGAGACAGATTATGACAAATTGATTTGCTTGACCTCAACACTCTTGTCTTGAACCGTGTACAACTTGCGGCTGCATGCGTACTGCATGAAGGCTGCATGAGTGCTGCATGAGTGCTGCATCATTGTGTTTGTGATTAATTACTGTTCATTCTCAAAGTAGATAACTGCGTGTATGATGGTGATTTTGTTTTCGCTCTTTCGGCAAATTTTGAGATGTTTTGACTATGCAACGGTAAACCACTAAATTGGTGTAGTCAACTTCAAATCTCGACTACAGTTCAATGAAAATTATGGACAAGGTGGCTTCACATCTCTTCAGCCAAACTGCATCCAACTAGCCTGCGAAGTGTGCAGAAAGCAGAGTCAAGCATGCAGGAATGAATTTCTCCGCCGCGGACCTATACCATTTGCATCCATTTGCATCCATTTGCATCCATTTGCATCCATTTGCATCCATTTGCACGGTGTGACGCAGCCAGGTGGATTTAAGACTAAAGTGGAAGAACCCGAAGAACCTGCTGAGGCCATATTTCATCCAATTTGCTTTGCTATTCATTCCGGAGACATCCGGAGACAATTCCTCTGACATTTTTGAGATGTTTACTGTTTGTGGTTTTATTTTCCTTTCTCTCGCAGGCCTGGGAAAACAATTCCTGGGAACCCAGCGTCCAGAACCAGAGGGGGAGTCAGAATTGGGAAGATGAAGGCAGGTCATTCTGACATGCACTTGGACCTTAAAGCCTCATACCATTGCCAGTGCAACTTGACCCCAAAAAAGCAAACTGGTGAAAGTCTATGGATGTGAACGCGTTTGGACCGTGGTTTCTCTTTTATGAAACCAAACATGACGAACGTCTATGAAAATCATGGTTATCCCGCACTCTGAATCCCACATTTATTGATGTCCCCCGGTGAAAGATGGTGGATGTCCCACCAGCACAGATTCCCAAAGGGCATCCTCTCAATTAAAATCAATGCTGCAGGATCGAAGCAAAAAAGTGGAATCATCCCTGGCTACTGATCTGCAGTGATGCCAGAATGCATTGCCCTATGGAAATCATGTGGTTATGTTTATTAGAGTATCATCATGTTCTCCCTTTAAATGGTTCTTGTTGCAATCGTTGTGCACATTTTCTTGGTTTTGAGCATGTAAGCGTTCGTAAAGGTCTTGAAATGTGTCTTTTCTTTCACAAGTTCTTGCAGTCTGTCAAATCTGCGAGGGTCAACACATAATGAGGATGGTCTCGCAAAAAGCAGAAGAATGACTGCACTGACAAGCAAGACAAGCAGGATTGGAATGCCTGGAACACTCAGAATGAAGGTGCCAATCAAGTTTCACGGGCTGTAGTGCATCCTATCCTGGAGCAAGGTCCTTTCAGGGCAGTTCTGCCAGGAGAGTTTGTAGATGATGGCAGGTTAGGGAGTCGCCGAACAAATGGGGGCTGGGCCATGCTGGTCCCCCATTCTTGAAACATCTTGAAACAACTGGGTTGGGAGAAAGAATCCATCCTGGGTTTGCCAGGTTGGAATGTTGATGGCTGGCAGAATTCACGGTCCAAGAAGTCAAAGGAGCTTTTTGGAAAAGAGAAGCATCAAGTAGCATCCTTCAGAGTCAGCTCAAGTTGCGTAGGGATTGTGAACGATTTCGATGGAAAACGCAGGAGGCTGATGTAAACTTTCTGTATCTCTACTGAAACTGCTTGGAATAGATTTGCTGCTTGTGACTGGATTCGGATGGCAGGATAGTGATGATCACAACAGCAGATCTCGCAAAGCCCGAGATGTGCCTCCCGTTTTGTATCCTCAGGCGCAGCGGTTTGGACTCCCCATTGGCCATGTGCTTTCCCCCACCAGTCTCCACTAGATGGTGTCTGTAAATGCGGGTACCAGTACCGGGGTACGGATGGTTTATAATGGAAAAATCCTATTAAAATGGATGACTCGGGGGTACCCCCATTTCAGGAAACTCTACATATATTATATATTAATATATATATATTAATAATGATAGATAATAATAGTAATTATGATAATGATAGTGATATTTCCATCACTTAGATTGTACAAATAAATTATATATAGCTGAAAATAATTCACCCCCAATAAATTGGATGGTTTGATACTAAGACGACCAGCGATTTGTTGCTCCAAGGGTATGGCCACCATACCCAGACATGGCGTTAGAAATTTCGTCCAGCACGGCCCACATTTGCATCAGGCCTTTATCTCAGACATCCCCGTGGAATTTGCCACTTATCTGGGCACTGGGATTCTGAAGAATGGACGGTATGTCAAAAGTTCCAGATTTCACAGAAGTTCCAGACATCAGAGATCCAACAAGATTTTGGGAGAAAGTCCAGACACTATGGCTATGATTATGATCTCTATGATCAATAGTTGTGATTTTATGCTCTAATTAATTACTGGGCACCAGGAAAATTCTGCGCCCAGGATGAGAACATGGTGAATAATATGCACACTCAATGCGGCGTGGCGCGCCATGATTTGCCAATCTCTGTGAAATTCTTGCCATCCAAGGACTGAATGATCCCATTCTTGGAAGAAAAACAATCCCATCCCCTTCAATAATCTTCACCCGAATATTAAACCTCCCCCTCAAAATATCCCAAAATGATAAAACATGATAAAACCTAGGGGTAGTTTTTATTATTAGGGGGTATTTAATATTCGGGGGAGAAGCTGGCTCCTAATATTAACTTAAAAGCATTAATTACAAAAACAAAACTATGTTTTTCGATTTCAAAATCGATTAAATTCCTTTTTAACATCTAATTCAAATATTGCCAAAAATTGCATTTCGAAGCTTTCCCCTAATATTAAATTAAACACCTTAATAAAAAAACGCTGAAATTTTCGATTTCAAAATCAATTAAATTCGATTTTAAAATCTAATTAAAATATTGCCGAAACTTGGATTTCGATGCATTCCCCCAATATTAAATTAAACACCTTGATTAAAAAACAAAAATTGTTGATTTCAAAATGGATTGAATTCCTTTTTAAAATCTAATCAAAAATTGGATTTCGAAACTTTCCTTTCCCTAATATCAAATTTAAAACCTTACCTAAAAAACTGTTTTTTTTTTGCTTTTAACAACAGGACCCTAATACAAAATACCCCGGGGCTAACTAGTTTTTAGATGGATGTTTAAATTGTTTTCAAAAGGGGATCAATTAAAAGTCAAATTGACAAATCTGAATTTTCCCAAAACAACTAATTTGGGGTAGTTTTTATTATTTTTGGGGGGGTTTAGTAATAGGAAGAAGGGATTATTAGATACCAACCCATATGGGCCCCGCGAAATGAATAGATTCGATACTAAACCAGGGTTTGTGGGGAGTAGTTGACATATTTTACCATTGGGGCGAAGAGATGAGTTAGCTTTCCCATTTCTAGGACAACGAGTGAACGGAGATGCCACTCCAGGACAAAACGGGGGAGACTTGCGCCTGCATTACTCGCTACGAGAAGGAAGAGACTCTGGAATTCGTGATAAAAACGATGCTCGCAGTGGAAAAAGATGGAGAAATGCGGATGGGTCAAAACCTATTAGTTAAATCAGTCTATGTGGGAGATTAACATCCATACATTTAGCTATTTTAGGATACTGGGTACCAGGGTTTGAGCTACCGGCGCTGTTAACGGACCCGCAGGTTTTGCTGTTTTTTTTGCTGTCGCATTGCCCGTCAGTTAGACGTTGTGCACGTCAGTTAGAAGTTGTGCCCGTCAGTTAGAAGGTGTGCCCGTCAGTTAGAAGTTGTGCCCGTCAGTTAGAAGGTGTGCCCGTCAGTTAGAAGTTGTGCACGTCAGTTAGAAGTTGTGCCCGTCAGTTAGAAGGTGTGCCCGTCAGTTAGAAGTTGTGCCCGTCAGTTAGAAGGTGTGCCCGTCAGTTAGAAGTTGTGCACGTCAGTTAGAAGTTGTGCCCGTCAGTTAGAAGGTGTGCCCGTCAGTTAGAAGTTATGCCCGTCAGTTAGAAGGTGTGCCCGTCAGTTAGAAGTTGTGCACGTCAGTTAGAAGTTGTGCCCGTCAGTTAGAAGGTGTGCCCGTCAGTTAGAAGTTGTGCCCGTCAGTTAGAAGGTGTGCCCGTCAGTTAGAAGTTGTGCACGTCAGTTAGAAGGTGTGCCCGTCAGTTAGAAGTTGTGCCCGTCAGTTAGAAGGTGTGCCCGTCAGTTAGAAGTTGTGCACGTCAGTTAGAAGTTGTGCCCGTCAGTTAGAAGGTGTGCCCGTCAGTTAGAAGTTGTGCCCGTCAGTTAGAAGGTGTGCCCGTCAGTTAGAAGTTGTGCCCGTCAGTTAGAAGGTGTGCCCGTCAGTTAGAAGTTGTGCACGTCAGTTACAAGTTGCGCACGTCAGTTAGAAGTTGTGCACGTCAGTTAGAAGTTGCGCACGAAGGATAGTGTGATGTTCTTGGGGAACTGGGTGGGGTTGGGGGGTTGGGGGGGCAAGGGGTACGCTGTAACATGTCTCTTGTCACTTGCCACACGCTCTTGATGCTACGCTGTAACATGTCTCGTGTCACTTGCCAATCTTGCCACGCGCTCCTGATGCTACGCTGAACCCATGAAGAGAGAAAAAGAAGAGGGCGAAACGCCGTGTTTCATTCCGTTTTCCATATCCACATTTGCAAATTATTTGGCCCAATAGAATTCAATGATCAATGAATAAATTCCTAGCGTAACGTGGGACGAAAACACCATTTCTAATTCAAGGCAAAACAACAAAATCGTCACGGCGCCACAGTTTTAAACACATGTGTTTAAAAATCATTATATAAAAACACCGGGTCCGCTATCAGCGCCGGTACCGGGTTTGATGCTTCCCCAAATGGGTTTACCTGGGTGATCATTCCTGTTTTGGTGTGCAAGATTGTTTTTTTTTGAGCGATTAAAAATACCTTCGTTGATTGTTTACTATTGGGACTTATAGGGCCTATTTTACTAGTTACTAGGGATTATGATAGCCCATAGTATCCTATCAACCAACTATAATGAGATGGGATAGGGGGATTTTGAATGGTTCATTTGTTAAAAATCACTATTTTAGATGATGATTCACTGGACAAAATATGTGATGGCCTTCACTGGTCGAGCCTGAGATGGAAGCATGGCTATCCTCCTCTCACCTCCGTCCCGAAACCTTCTTTCATGATTTGGTTATGGATCAAAACTAGTTCACAGCAAAATAACTGGTAAATGGATATTCATACCCCTCAAACGATATATATATATAATTGGTTTTGACCCATTGACCCATCATCATTTATTTGTGCCTTTGTGTGTTTGTCGCAGTCAAGGATGCACGGAAAACAGCTCAGCACGAGAAGCGGTAAGCACAAGACCGTAGGCGTGAAACGCGCCCGCCCTGCACGGTGGATGGTCAAGGCTCGACCGTTCCGACGAGGAAGGTGAGGCCACAATATCAATGGAGGGTTGCCGAAAGCTAGGTTCGATAATGTTACATAGATGCTATAGAAGTCCCAGCATATCGTAGCCACAAATTACTTTTGATGATATTTGATGATGTATGGAATTTCCATGTCTTTTGCAGCCATGGTGAAGGGTTCGTTGCGTGCTCTTGCAGCTTGATTCAGATAGCTGTGCCAAATGATCCACTTATTTGATCCCAAAACCAAAAGTAGATTCAAAGTATATCATCCATTTGGTATTGCCCACAATTGGGACAGGTACCCCAAGACTATTCGTTTACCATAGTTTACCGGTTTACCTTCATGGATTTTCCGTGAACTTCTTTCAGAAGCCCTATTTGAATTGGCCTTGGTATGGAGTCAGGCTGGCTTGGCACGAGATGAAGAGCCAGGTCAGGTGCAGCACGAGGATGCATTCAAAAAGAAGTGGCCGAAGCAGGCTGGGGATACGCTTGGTTTTTCTGAAGAGTTGGGGTTGGGGAAAACGAAAATCCCAATTTTAATGGATTATCGACATCAATCCCCGGGAGTACAGTGGGATATGCCGCAGTGTTCAGAGAAACCCAGATGGCTCAATTGGCTGCAACAATTGGCTTTGTCCAAAAATAAAATTACCTCAACATGGCAATTTCGTTTAATTTCAACAGGGAAGAAGAATCACAAACCACTGGATTTTGGGTGGATCATATATGGTGTAATCTATTTTCAGACACACCCAATTCAAGTGAGGTTCAAGTGCGTCCGAGGATTTTGTTGTAGTTCATTCCTTTTCCAAAGAGATGGAAAGTGTAGCTGGTTGCTTCTTGGAAACTCAAGGAGTAGCACATGCTGAACTCCAAAACTCACTGGTCAATGATAAATATATATAATATGATAAATTTCCTCATTAATACAATTAATATAATTATATACATATAATATATGTATATATAATTATATAATTATATATACATATTAAACTATATTAAAGTAGCCATTTGGGGGGGCATCCCCACAGACAAAGCCATTTGGAGAGCATGGGCGAGTCTGTCGACAGTTTCTTGCGGGAGAGGTCAACAAGGAAAACTTTGATGTCGTGGTTGCTCCAAAGCAGCTGCCCACGTCTCAGTGTATGGTCCGGATCAGATGGCGATGGTGGATTCGTGCCCGTTTTGGGCGATGGTCATAGCACCATCAATAGGGAATGGATGGGAATGGAATGATGGCCTTCATTTAAGGCATTTAAAGATTCCCAACAATGATAGGATGATCATAGCCTAAACCTACTCTGTCTTGACCATGGGATATGCATAGACTTCTTCCCGGACTGAAGGATTGATCCAAGTAAAGTCCAGAGTGGATTATACTATATAGCTGGTTTGTTGGTTATTATTCTGACCCACAATAACGACATATAAGGATTAATCAGGATGTTGGTGGACCAATCAAAATGTCATGGTATGGGAATAACGGGATACAACCTTCATGTCTCAGTAACGCAACTGAGCTAGAAACTGCAGTGTTTCTACTCAAGTTGCCAGGTGCAACCGTTGTTGCCAGCGTACAATTCCTCGCCGTGCCCGCCATGATGAACGATATCAAGGGAGCGATGGGCGATGCCAAGGCTGGCTTGACCGATGCTGCAACTGATGCAGCGAAGAAGGTCATTGAGGAAGAGCTGGCAGAGAAAGCGCCTGAATCTTTGAAGCCCCTCTTCCCTTGCTGTGGAGGTCCAGTGGGAACCATGGACAGGTGCATTTGTATGGTGCAAGAAGATCAGAGAGAGCAGGCGACGCTTCCAAATCTTCCATCCATCTCCCTTGCCCATCTTTCGAATGCGATGAAGAACAACGTTTTTTTGGGGACGGATTTCAGTGATAATATAGGTGTATATTTATTGTCAGTATAAGGGATGGAATACTCACATTGACCAGTGATCACTACTGATTTAAAACCTTCAATTTCAATATGTTCAATAGCAGTGGGTAGATCATCCAACCAGCTATTTTGACCACCAGGAGCCCAGGGTTTTATTTGGCGCTGGTGTACAGCTGCGAAGTTTTGAAAACGACCTACATCGGACCTACATCTGTCAGTGATTATCAGTGTATATACACTGTATATACTTATATAATCTTATATAATCTTATATATATATTAATACATACTTGTTTCCACCAAAGCAGTCCTTTTCGTAGCTCATAGTTGAATGATGTTGGATGAGTCGCCCTAGTGTCAGCCGTGTCAGCCGTGTCAGCCTCAAAAAACGTCGCAGGTGAAGTCTGCGATTGAGAAATACCGTTCACTCTGAAGCCCTGCAACTTGCTGAACGCCGCCGCTCCGCAGCTGACGCTGAGGGAGCATTTTTGCGCTGCAGTCGGTTTGAAGTGCACCAAGCAATTAGATTTCTTTTTGCTCCTGGCATTTGGAGCTGGAACAGAGCCCAACATGTTTGTGAGATCCAACCTTGCAATGATTCATTGAAGATGTCATTACTATTCATTACTCGTGTTTTTTTTGTGCAAGAGAAAGGGCATGCATAGATGCGTGTTGTTCCGGAATGTTCCAGATGTGGGCAGCCCATAACCGTGCAAGGACACGACAGTGTAACCCTGACATAGCTATCAAATTTTGAAGGAGAGCTCAGTGCAAAAGGTGAGCACTTGACAGGAGTGTTTCAGGGCATAACATGGGTATAGGTCGAAAATTTGGGATGCTGAGAACCACAGACGGTGGCCATTTCGAGATACACGGAGCATATCAGTAGCAAATATCATAAATATCAGCGTCAGATTACTAGGTTTCAGAAAGCACATCTCATTATTCGATATCTGGTTGGTGGTTTGGAACATGTTTTTTTATTTTCCATAATATATGGGAATAATATTTCCCATTGACTTTCATATTTTTCAGAGGGGTAGGTCAACCATCAACCAGATATGATTCGCATTGGTTTTTTTCTCGAATGATTCGAATGGGCCCTGAGGTTGGATGAATGGGTTGAACATGAAGGCACCATCATTCAGTGGTATCCCAGTCAGGCCGGAAGGGCGGCCAGATGCACAATAAGTGCAAAACCTGACTCGTTTGAGGATTTGAAGATTGTGAAAATGCTTGTGAATGACTGCTTATCATTTATAATCATATATATAGGTATAATTTTATATAATTATATCATATAATATCAACGAATTACTGTTCAGTATTAATATTTATTGTGCTATGTATGAATATCATTGTTTGAGGATTCCTGACAATTGTTATATCGCAGCTCTAAAAAAAACAATCATTTTGAGGATTGAACATGTTATACATGTTGTTTGATCGCAGCGACCGCAGGCATCAGGCTTCCTTCGCACAAATGATGGCGTTGACCTTTTTGCTCAGTCCAATTGGTTTTTAAATTTGGGTCTGGAGCTCGGGGCTGGGGAAAGAGTTGGATTACTAAAGCTGCTGGTTGCTGGTGGTTGCTTAGTAGGTGTAAAAATGCTCAGAAGGTGATGATTGTAGAGGAAATGTCAGCACACCACAACATGTATACAATATAATTATACATATATTTGTATATATACACTATTGTGTTAATTGTTTCTCAATGCGCTAACCAAGAACCTGTCCATCCAATTTGGGCTACATTGCAACTACATGCCAAACTGTTTTGCCAAGGGGTGCGAATATTCAATGACTTTGAAATTCCTATTTCTATTATAGCCAGGAGTCATGCAGGCATTGATTTGTAACACGATCTATCTATCTATCTATCTATCTATCTATTTGTCTGTCTGTCTGTCTATCTATCTATCTAAATCGAATCCAATCCAATCTGATCTAATCTGATCTAATCTAGTCTAATCTAGTCTAATCTATCTAATCTAATCTCATCTAATATAATCTAATCTAATCTAATTTAATTATCTATCCATCAATCCATGCGTCCATCTATCCATCTATCCATCTATCCATCTATATATATATATTCATAAGATATGATATTATATATATACATATTTATATGCATGTATATGTACTCATATATGTGCATGAATATGAATATGTCTATGCATATGTGCATGCAGCTGTATATGTATATGTATATAGTATAGTATAAATTAGTATAGTACAATATATATAATGTGTGATAAGTGTGACCCCCCCGCCGGCCGGTCCGCGTGTGCCGAGATGACGGAGAGGTGCCAGAGATTGGACGTCGCGTGGTCTTTGAGGTGGGTTGGCTTAACGAAAGGGGAGCAGGTTCCATCCATTTGTCTGTGGTATGTGTTGATCAAAAATGACCTCTAGCATATAATCAATGCATATATATGCATATATCATAATATAAATGGATTTAGGATTGAGCCTACAGAATTAACATACTATCCTACCTTGGATGGATTTCTCGTTGCGAAAGCTGGAAGGCAAGCAGCGAATCCATCTACAAAATCTCAATAAATCTCACGTCGATACGCGAACAAATAGAGGAATGAATGGATTGTTGATCATGACGATCCTGATGCTAAAAAATGATCATATTTCACATGTCTATCACTATTTATATTATGATAATGACCATGACTCATTCGAATTATTATTACCGTTATTATTCATCATTGCCATGATTATTGCCATGACCATGATTACGAATTATGGTCATGGTTTATTTGGGATGACTGGTATTTCGGGTAGCCCATGAAATCCCAGGTGACTTGGAACAGAGACAAAGATCGTTACCACGGCCGTGACCTGGCAATTGATGGCTGGGAATTGATGGATGGCTCCCACCGGCAGAAGGCCCCTGGTGAATAAACAGTTGGACCCTGAAAATCATCCATTTTAGTGGTAACTAATCCAAGCCATATTATGAATGGCAGGGTCTATATATCTTAATTTACCAGAGGGTATATATGGGAATATAGCTTTTGACACAGCCCCAATTACAGTATGCAGTATGATGCTATCCATTTTAGAGGACACATGTTTCAGCCGCTTTGGAACGAAGATGTTGCTGTTTGACGACGTTTTGATTGGATTGGGAACCATCCAAGGGGGATCTGCTGATTGCGTGGTCGTCTGATATTAGGATACGTGTCAAAACCCTGGTATCCTGTAGTTCACAGCAAAATAGCTGAGAAATGGATGATCGTTCCCTAGAAAAAGGTATCATTGAACCAGCACCAGGACCGGACCTATGACCCAAGGATCACCTTTAACATCTTCCAAAATCACCACAAAATTTCCATTCATTCTGCCCCGTTCTATCCCATTAAACCACCCAATTTTGCTTGATAAATCCCCATATTTCCTCCGGATCAGCAGGATCCATGGCTCAAATATGCCAAGCTGGGACCATGGCAGGCAACATTTGCTTAGTGAAACCCACCGAGCACTTTCCCAGCGACCTTCCGGATGGGTCACATGGCGGAAATGGGATGGGCCATTGGGGACCAAATAGCATTGAAAGTGAAGATTTAATTTGATGAAACCAAGTGGAATGGAGATTTGATATGATTCATATGATTCAAGCAGCAAGAAATTGATGAAATTGGACGTAACGTGAGTAATGGATAGTAATGGTCCCCAGGCACTTGCTTCCTGTCACCAGCCACTTTCAGCCGCTACTTTTACGCCAAGGCCTCAACTTCCGTTGATGATCACGCCAGAGCAATATGAGCCGGTGGAAGGTTCCGTGTTTGTCGAATATGGTGGGATACTCGTGGGTGCAGTTCCAGTTATAGTGAATGTATAATAATATATATATATGGATATATAGCCATAAATTAAGGTGTTATATTAAACTCGCAGGTTATTAATTACCACGGTTATGCCCATTTCTAGCCCAACTGCACCCCCAAGTATGGGTTTGGTACCTCAAGATTCGGAGTATACTCATAATCTAATGGTTGTTTATGACAAATGGATGATCTATAGAGAAACTATGGGGCTACAATAGAGGGTATGACATGGCTATTGAATGGGTAAGAAACCACAATGGGATATGAAGAATATGACTAAACATCAATCAAATCGGACGATTTATGGCTACCTGGTCGGGAAAAGGATTTTACACACCACAGGAGTTGGCTTGGTGTTTTCAGACCAAGCCACAGGACATTCTGACCACGGCCAATTTTGGATCCTTCATGGCTCGTTGTGAGGTCATTTGGTATAGCCAAAACGGGGTACCCCAAGAAACAAGTTAGTAAACAATATCTAAAATATGCAAAAAAAAGGTATTGGATTTTGTTCCTCTCCCATGCCTGTGGTTTCGATCACTTCAATCCCAAAAATCCTTTGGTTTTGTTCAATCAATTACCATAGGCCATAGATATATGAAAAACCCGCCAGATCATTTTCCGCACGGAGAAACCATCAGCTTTCTACATACATACATATACATACATATACATACATATACATACATATACATACATATACATACATATACATACATATACATACATATACATACATATACATACATATACATACATATACATACATATACATACATATACATACATATACATACATATACACATACATACATATACATACATATACATACATATACATACATATACATACATATACATACATATACATACATACACATACATACACATACATACACATACATACACATACATACACATACATACACATACATACACATACATACACATACATACACATACATACACATACATACACATACATACACATACATTCACATACATACACATACATACACATACATACACATACATATACATACACATACATACACATACATACACATACATACACATACATACACATACATACACATACATACACATACATACACATACATACACATACATACATACATACATACATACATACATACATACATACATACATACATACATACATACATACATACATACATACATACACAATGATACACATCATATAATATAATGTATAATATAATATATATATATATGGAAAATAGTAACATATATACATAATAATATATATATATATACATACATAACAATATAAAATAAATAAATATATATATATATGTATAAATATACATAACAATAATATGCATATATATATATACATAACATTTATATATATATATATATTATAATATGTATACATGTATACTGTATATGGTTAATTTTCCAAACAATCTCCTGTTTGGTGGGTTACCCTTGTTTGAATCAACCATGGCTAGAAATTCCGCCATTTAGTTCAATGATTTTCCCAGAAAGCTCCGAGTTGAGGTGCTGGGGGTTCCCAACTTGCCATGTTTGACACCTCATGCTTGTGCCATCCTCAAGTTCGATGTTTATGAAAATTGGGTATACCATGGTATTCCATGGTATACCACATTCAAGAAAGTCCATCTTTCTGGGATGTCAGGGCCCCATCTTCCAGGCCTGGACTACTTCTGCAACATTTGGAATCTGACCTCGGCCACGCGGCGCTGGCTTCTGAAACTCACTCCAGAGGTGCAAGAGAAACTGATCAATGAAGCTTGGTGACCTCAATGGCGACCCCTTTTTGGGAAGCAGCCAGTGGCTGTGTTTCATGGGGAATAGCATGGAATAACCCATGATTGATGGCCACTTGACTCAGGAAAATGATGACAATCCATGAAAGTTTGGGGTATCCTATTTTCAGAAGCCCATCTTATCCCATGTTGGCAGTGACCCATTGTGGGAATCAGGGAATCCCTATCAACCAGTATACAGAGATCACCCTTCGGGTTTTGAACACTGCTAACACTGCTCGTGCGTAGGAATGTGTAACATTGGGTAACATTCTGCAACCATAGACATCAACATTTACACCTTGTGGATTCTTGTGGGCCTTCTTAAACTTATGGATAGTTATACTGTACTTATGGTATGTTTCATGAGGACTGTCCAGTCGCCGCACAAGGGGAGACTTGAGCAAATTCGAGTTTCGGGCACTTGGGGACCTGGGGATGAACGGTGCTCAGGAGTTCGATGATTCATTTGTTCCAGATCCACTCGATCCTTCAGAGGACCTTTTGCTGCAAATATCTGCAAATTTCAGCGATACACAGGAGAGAACTCTGGCCCATCTGTTCTGAACCGTTTCAATTCATTCCACGGGGATACTGTACAGTTGCCTGTTGGTATTCCATCATCAGCTGGAGACCAAGAACTCAGTGGAATTGGCCAGGAGATTACTCTGCATGTATCCTCTTCAGTGGCCGTTGCCCCTTGTCTCAAGCGCTTATTTATCGCCCTGATACCTGGGCATCAACATCACAAAGGGTCAACCCTGATGCATGAACCTTGCCAGAGGTCCTGCCGCTGATGTCGGAATATGTTTGAACTGGGTCATAGTCATAAGTCATAAGCTGTTCGTGATTTAAACCATTAGCTGTTCGTGATGTCACTTTGTTTCACTTTTGGTTGTTGCCATTTTTTCGATGGCCATTTCAGGACCTCTAGATTGGAGGTACCTAAAATACATATATCTATATATATATAAGGCTTATGTAAGGGCGATTTTCAGGGAATATCCCCGCCATATATTCTTTTCTATAGTGAAGTCCATGTTAGAAATTCCCATCTTTGGCAGGGAGGACTTCACAGCAACATCACAGAGGAGGTCCTGTGGAAACTCTTCAGCCGTTTCGGCAAAGTACAGAGCTGCAGGCGCGTTTTTTCGTGCGGGTTGGATATGGATTTCATGTGAACATGGGATGAATTTTGCAGATCATGGGCAGCAAAAAATGGGCATAAAATTAATGGACACACCTGGAGTGGAAAGATGTGTCTGAACATAGGGGGATTGACTTCCAAAATAGGCGCACGCTGTCCGTTAAGTTGTGTACTATTGCTGATCGTAGCTGATTTAGATGATTTTAGATGTGGTATGCTTTATTTATACCTTGTGAGAACCACATCATACCATAGTATACCTTAGTTTGATATGGTCAACTAATGTCAACTATCAAATGAACAATGGTATATATTATATATATAGAGAGTCAAACTAAGCTCAACATATGCCTTGATCCTTGATATACCATTTAATGATTTAGCCATTTGTCCTACTCTTCTGTTGATTTATTGCTGAAGACACCTGCTGTTTGGTTCATGTCATGTTAGGCCGCCTTCGTGGTTTGACGTAAACACCCCACGTTTAGCCTAAAACTTACAACATTTTTGAAGCTGATAAAAACAATGTTTATAGTCATAGTGTTTATAATAAAACCCTAAACCTTAAAACACTATAAAACACTAAGAATAAGTGCGTCTAGCCAGTTAGCCAGTTAACAAATCTCTGCTCGCCACGTTGACCCTGCACAAAATCGTCAATTATGCTGTTGGGCAGAGGTTGGGCCAACAAGAACCGATTCAGAAACTCAAAGAATCTGCGATTCAGAAACGAAACGCCAGCAATCAAGAGATGTTGGACTCAGCCACACGACAAAGAACTAAATCCAGCAGTTCTTGGAAGAACATACCATACTGCCGTCAGGCTTGACATTAGGGATTACATCTTCTTTGGTTGCAGCCCAGCATGTTTTGGTTGACGAAGCAGTGTTGGTTGACGAATCAGACTCTGGTAGTTGATGAATCAGACCTTGTGGTTGACACATCAGTAATTATTGGTTGACTTTTTTTGGTTGCGGAGCGGAACACATGTTTGATCGTGTTGCAGATCATACGGTAATTATGACAGACAAATTAATATTAACATAGAACATCATAGAACGTATATAGCGACGGACAATCACTTAGAACATCTTTTGGATATTTTTGTTTTAGTACACTGGGAGCTATGCTTAAGAACATTCGAAAGTCCCCACACGTAGAACATCCCAAGACAGTACAACATAAATATATATATATATATATGTATATTTCTATAATGATCTATTGACATAACTATATTTATATGAACACAAAGTTATCCATCAGCTGTGGAGACCCCCACACTTAGAACATCCCAAGACACTACAACATATATATTTCCACAATGATCTATTGACAACTATTTTTAACGTGATCCATTGACATAACATATAAACTTGAACGAGCTCTTAGCCTCACACTTAGAACATCATCAACCTACATATAGGATGTTCTAACTGATTTTGCTCTGGATGTTCTAAGTGTGGGGGTCTCTGGATGTTCTAAGTGTGGGACTCCAAAATTTTGGAAAATCGATGTTCTAAGTGATTGTCCGTCACTATAGAGACATCATAGTTTAAGTACATGTTAATATACAGCATGCATCCAGCATTTAGAGCATGTTGCTGTTAAGAACCTGCGAGGTTTTTGGGTGGCACTGCCGTCATAGAGATGGAGGACGAAGAGGTTGGCACGAAAATTCTGTGGGTTTGATTGAAAGTGGAGGGATAGCCCCGAATTTGGTGAGTTAGAACATCGTGTCACCATATGTTCCCCGGAAACTTGCCAAACTTGGGGGTATGCCATCCAATCCCTTGTGGAACTCTACCCAAAATGGATCTCCCCACTGATCCCTCATATTATTTTGATGAAGCATTTTTGAGTTGAACAATGACATATTTTAATCATGTTTAATCCTTGTATTTGCTGATCTCCTCATCATATCCCCAAATGGAACAAGAAAATCCGCATCGTTCCAGCATTTTGAATGGCAGGAAGCGCTCCTCGCGGTCCAAGATGTCATGCTCTCAACTGACTGGCCAGGTGGGAGTCAACGATGATATGCCCATATCTCAGGATGTCATACCATCAACGAAGGATTATTTTAGTTATCTTGGTGGTCAAAGACCCCGGAATCATCCAAGTTACTCTCTGGTTATTATGTGACAAAAGGTATGGAAAATGGCCCTTTTAAAGATGATTTATGATGATTTGCACATGATTTTTGTCATGCTTAAGGTGACACCAACGGTTTGTTGATAAGTGGCACCCCAATGTTGATATGAACCATCCAAACAGCATTCAACTCTAATCCAGTCATCATCAAATCATCATCCAACTATCGAAGTCTCGTTGCTTCCGATCATCGTCCTCATCATCCAGCTATCTTTAAAGCATCATCGGATCTAGTTCGTCATAAATTAAATGTGATATAAATGTGCCGTAATCAAAGCATACACAACATGGTAGGGCGGGACAGTGCCGGAATGGAGGTGCCTTAGTGGCCTACTTCTACCATGCTACGCCGCCATTGGGCCTACGAGAACTCCCCGAAGGTCGCCAGCGGATGTTGGAAAATGGCAAGCTTAAACAAAGGCCAACTCTGGTGGCATTTTGAATAATTTTGGAATTTGGCATTTTACTAATTTTAGCAAATGATCAAATTGATCGAATCATGTTTTTTCTTGGTTGATGGAAGTTCTCAATGATTCAAATCATTAGCGGGATTCAAACACAAGTATACATATGTTATATAACATTTTGGGCCGTTTTAATGTTATTCTTTTGTGTGTAAGGGGGCTCGTTATATTCTCTGATCATCAACTTCGTGGGTGTCATCGTTGCTAAAAGATTAGGTGATTAGGCTCTACAAGATGTGAAGCAGCGACATAGTTGCTTCGTTACATTATTTGTATAGTTATATAATGTTATATATATATATATATGTATTTATTTATCATCATTTACATCCCATCAAATCCCGATGTGAAAATAGGTCAAAAAGTACCCCCCAAAATCCACTGGATGATCGGATAAAATCATGCAGTGTCCCTATGGGTTTTCTCATTTCATGGCCGTATCTCCCCGAGGTCAACGCATCTTCGGCATTTGTAAGGCGTGGCCCTGCAAGGGTTGGCAGCTCTGACCATGGCACCATGGGATCATTGGGGAAGGCGGAAAATGATGATTGACTCATGAGGCTTAATGGCCTGATGATGGACTGATCATTGAAAATTCCATTGGATTTGGTGGAGGTTAGTCAAGTTTTCTCACTGGCCTGGCCTGGAGTCAAGCAATCATGGCGTTCAGATTGTGTGAGCCTTTGCAGAAATCGGATTTTGAGATCCAAGAATCAAATAGTTTCCCGCACATTTGAGATGCAATTCAGCCAAAGTTGTGTCAAAATCATGTAAAGTCCCTGGGTCTAGATGATCTCCAGTATACCATTGGAAAATACCATGGAATACCATTCATATATCATCATATATCATCATATATCTATGAATCCACCACTGCCGGGTGCCCGGTTGCCAGAAGTGGAACCGTGCGACTGGCTGTGGCTTCATTACAGCGAATGGTGTAGGCAGGTGCATCAGTGCATCAGTGCTGTGGCAACGGAATTCACCCAAGATCACCCATTCTTGGATTTCTTGCTTGCTTTTCTCATTACAACCTCTATAACTAGTCTATAACCATTATAGTGGAATATAGTGGATATGACCATAAATATATAGAATCCACTATAACCTCTATGTATATATTTATAGCGGATTTCCCAGCTTGCGATGTTTGATTGCCGCTGGCAAGCCGCTGGGTTTTGGGACCAAAAATGGGTAACCAAGGTCGAACGGGAAGATCGCCCGGGATGGTTGTCCTACTGGGCTAAGATGTGTAACTCCGAATCTGTGTCAGCTTCAGTCATGCAAGGAATATTATATTATTATATAATATTATGTATCTATATATAGTTATATAGTAATAGGTAATATATTAGACCTGCAATTTCTTAGGGGACATACCAACCATGTTTGGTGAAATTGGGGAACAGTTTATAGTTTGTCCCGCATGATTATATATATATATATATATTATATTGGTTAGTCACGAAGTCTTGGCAATGTCCAAAGGATACTGTATTCTGGATGTATGCTTCCTTTCATACCAGCTTCTTCAAGTCTCAAACGCAGTTGATGTTTCGAAGAATGCCAGAGCTGCATTTTTTCTCCAGTGCTGCACACTTGTACCCCGGCTAACGTTTGATTTACCATTCGAGATGGCCGCCATACGAAGATTTCATGAATATCATATTCAATCCCAAAAAGGACTTTCCAAACCTCTTGACATTGCTATTTCCAATAGAACTATTTAGAAGAAAGCATCTTCCAGACAAGAAAAGGAAACAGCAAATAGTTGTTCCAAAAGCATCCGATAAAAACAATTGCTTTTTCCTGACCAAGAATGTTTGGGGAAACCTTAATGTTTGTTGGCAAATCCCATTGAATCTCCATTATCATTGAATCATTGCGGGAAAGTCCTAAATTCCCATTCAATTTCCATGAATTCTAATGATGTTTTTTTTCCGTGAATCCCAAATTTTAAATACCTATGAGCCACTGGAGAGTTTTCTTCCCCACCTTGGCTTCCGTTTTTTTTTTGCAAGGCCCTGACCTTCCTATCACCTCTGATACCTTGGAGGATGTGGTGACCTTGATGCCAGGTGCGCCAAATGACTTAGGAAACCTCTGGCGTAATGGATGGGTTCCACGTAAAATTTAGGCAATGTATTTTAACATGTGTGAAGGTTGCTGTTTGCGGCTTGTATTTGCACGCAGTCTTGTTCAGATCAGCCGCAACTTCAAAAACTTATGACTTGTTTAAATTGGTCAAATAGCAGTATTGCTCAGTTGAACGCTTTTGCTGCAACGTTGGAAAGTTCCCACAGAAATCTGCCAGAGTATCACTGGGCAGACTGCAATCTGACAGGTGCACCAGTACTTTTTATGGTGGAACGGCAGTACCAATCTGGCTTCGATCACTCCGTGGCAGTGATCGATCGCTGCATGGGCGACCGTCAAGCTGTTGCTCGTCAAATAAGATGACCATTTCTGTTTCAAATTACGGAGCCACATAACATTTCAGCTTGGATGGCTTCCAACATCTTCCAACCGATTTTAAGGCTGTTAAGGCTTTGGTGTTTTGATCCTGGTATGCGGCTATCTTAATCATGAACATACCCATATGAATTGGTGCATTGTACCTGAAGGAGGTATAAGATGGTATAAGCATATGGCTATGGAGAAAAAGAAATTGGATTACACAAGACGAGAATCGCATTTTTTTGGGGGGCCATACAATCATGTATCCAACTATTTGTTTTTGCTCGGAACTTGTGCAGAGCAAGAGACGTGTTGTTGATATATTAATATATATATACATTACATTACATTACATAACATTACATTACATTACATTACATGACATTACATTACATTACATACATACATAAAATAGTCTATAGTTTCCAAAATTGCTTTGCCATTTTGGCTATTTTTGGCTCAAATGTGACTCAAATTGCCATCACTCATTTTGGCAGGCCGCAACCCAAGTCAGACAGCCGCACCAGGCACTAGCAAAGGACAAAGGATTGAAAGCCGTTTTTAATCGGGAACCCTATGTTTTTTTTCAGGAATCACAGTTTTTTTCCCCAGGGTGTGGTTAATGTTTCATCGACAGAGGGTTTATCATCCAGTGAACGACCAGGAATCGCGACACAGTCGCGATTTCCTGATGTCAATATTCCCATAAATCAGCCCAGATATTTGCTCGAATCTCCAGATTCGCTGTTTGAATCTGGATCATCTGGATCCACATCTTAGCTGCTTCATCCTCAATTTCGCATCGTTAAGTCTACATGTTTGCTGTGGTTAAATCCCCTTTTGGATGGTTTTTTAGTCAGCTCCTCATTCTTGGTGAAATGCCAACCCTTAGAGGCACCTGTTTTTCCTGATTCAAATCATTTTACATCCAACTTGTTTAAAACCAGTAATTCCCTACATCCCAGCCCCCTGCACTGCCCTACCCACCCAATCTTCCGCTGGCCTTAGGTCCGTCAGCAAGTGAGTTCCACCTTCGGCACAGACTCTGCGGTGCGCAACTGGGCTCGGCAGGTGCAGCAAAAGCTCAAGATGCTCGGAGAAATCTGGAAATCATATTTTTGTTATTGGTGCCGTACCCAACGGAAATGTGAGTATAAAACCAACTACTGTAGGAATATCATTAATAACTTAACATATAATGGGATATGATGGGATATAGACGATGATAAAACGCAACGTTTGAGGTCACACTATTTTCAGACAGATCCATCTGGAAAATGCTTTGGGGTTTTACAGCAACCAAACCTTGGACAAAAACCATGGAGATTTATCGATGACAAAACATGGAGATGCAACTCATCAAACGTTGGGATTCAGCTACGTATTGATGTGAACAAACCATGCTACTCTCAGGATGGGCTCACCGGATATTTGACGTGGAGAAAAGATGCTCCCAGGGGTGCTGACGATTCGGCAATGATTCCGCAAGAGATGGTCAAATACCACTCTTGTCGGTGTCTTACATAAAGCATGGTGTTATCTACATAGACTCTTGAAGCATAGGTTCTGCCCTTCGAATCCGATGTCCAGGTATTGACAACACTTCGTGGAATTGAAGACCTAGATGAGGAGCCACAGCCCAAAAAATGGTTGGTGATTTGACACGTGCCATAGTCAAAAGTCAAAACATGTTGTTTTTTTTCCATAAAAGAAATGGCCATCCTTCGATTGGTAGGGTTAATATGATGGTGGGATGACCACCCCCCATGTACATGTTTTGACCATGGCATACATGATGCCGTGTTTTGATCTATACGTATGACTAAGCATTGGAATTGATCAAGAGATGCTGGCCAGTCCTCAAATTCTGAAATATTTCAGTTCATTCTTTGGTGGGACTCCTTGATGGGGTGATGGTTTTTAACTTTTGCTGAGCTGACAGTCGAAAATGATAGATCTATACAACTGCTCAGAACTGAAAGATGATTGCAGATTTCAGTGTGAAGGCGTTCTGACTCGGTTGATGGCAACAAAGAACATCCTGTACAAACAGCTCACATAGACCTATAATAGACTAATAGTGTTACTTCAGTCAGGAAGGGTTGCGCTCAAACAATCGGAAACATGTTGATGTTCACAGAGAAAGCTGGGTTGAGTAGGCTGTTGGGCAGTGTAGCGTGCGGGCTTGAGGGCGTGCCGCGCGACGGAGTTTCTTGATGTCTTTGGTCGGTATGCTTGTGTTGTGTCCTGCCAGTCGCATCGTTGCGCACTTCTGGAGCTCTTGAAATCAGGCGGGGAGTTCACTTGGCCCAATCGCATAGGACAGCACCTGTTGGAATGTATATAGTTCCCTCCGAGTAGTTCTTGGATCAGGTTTGGTTTAGCTGGCACTCTTTGAAGAGATGAGTTTTGACATTTCTGGGGAGGGCTGTGGACACCATTTCCAGAGGAATCCGATGTCCTCTTGGTGTTGAGATATGAGGAAGTAAAGAACTTCCGTCCTTTAAATTTAGCTAAGCAGGTACCCTTTCGTACTGGATATGGATGGATATGGCCCATTGACAAGCCATGATCAGATCACAGCGGTAGCAAATTTCTACGGGGAGTCTTTACGGCCTCATAATGTTGATGGGATGGATGGGTCAAAACTGTTGAGAGAACCACCATCCAATAACCGGCTGGTACCAAACTTTTGACCCACAACATCCCATGACCATCTCATTTTGCTTCAGTTTGCCTGCTTTTTCCAGGGCTTTTTGACAATGGATAGTCACTTAACCATCATTAGTGACTTAACATAAGAAACATATAGAAACATTAGTCACTTAGCATGGGAAAACCCATGGGAAAACCATAAATATTAGTCACTGTTCATGGCTTTATAACATTTTATAACCATTCACCACTTAACAATGGCCTTTTCTCATGGCTTTAATCCCCATCATTGCCCAGGACAAGGAGCTTCGAATTCAGAGTTGAAAAGCTCGAAGGCCCCATGCGGCCCGCTAAAAACCATGGCAGCCACAGATGGCAACCGGTAGATCAGTGAAATGATGTGAAATGGGACACATCATGACCAAATATGACACATCTATAGTGAAGTGGGATAAATGATTGATAAAATTACATTAAATTACGATAAATATTTGCCAAAATTGAAACTGGTTAGACATTAATTACTGAATTGAATCTTCGGCGGCACACGAGAAGGAGAATGGTCGAAGGACGTAGTCCGAGTACTGGCAATGTAGCGCTACGCGTAACGGTAGAAGCCCTCCATAGAATGAACACGTTTATGACATGACAACAGAACCAGCAGCGACAGGTCCCGACCAAGAGGAAGCGGACTGCACCGAAAAAAGACACTGCACCTGCGCCTCAAGAGGCAGGGCAACTCAAGTTCTGAGACCTTCTGGTAATCCAGGAAACATATTCGTACATAGATTACCATAGATTTGTTTTCATTCAAATACACATTGATAGCGGATTTTCGTGGAATTTCCCCTTCACACGCACATTTATAGAATTTCATAGAGCAGTTCCCAAAATTCAACGCTTCAGGACCTAATTTCTCCATGTAATGGCGGCATTCCACATTTCTGTACCAACCTCCATCAGTGTTGTCTTATGAGATTTATGATATTGTTGGTTGGCTGCTCAGATATATCCAATCTTATACATAAATTATTCAAGTTATCATAATTTCATCCCCATATCCATAATTATTGTTCGTTACTGTATTATATCTTCAAAGAAGGGGTTCTTGAACTTTGTAGTACCCCAAAAATTGAGGTTTCATCATCATGTTCACCACACAAATCCAATCGGGATGTTGTTTATGGAGTGTCTTCCTGGTCAGAGAGCCAGTACTTTGTTTGTATATCGTTGGTAAGTTGATGCCAGTTGTGTTACATATTATATCAACCAACTCTTGAAATCAGCTTTATCAGTGATATAATCAATATAATCCACAAATAATCTTGTGATATCCCCATATGATTTTTGGATTTTGCATCTAATATCAGTTCCATCCCCATTTTTTCGTCTCATCATATTTGATGTGTATCACCACGGCCGCCAGGTGCCAGTCACCCCAGCTGCATCAGCTGCACCAGCTGAAGCAGCTGAACCTGGGCCAGTAGCCAGTCCTGAGGACAGTGATGTGGAGCTCACCTTCGATGACCCGCTGTGGCACTCAGCTGGGCTCCAACATGATGGCATGAAGATGGCATGAAGATGGCATGGCTATAGCCAATCGAAAAAGTGGACAGCTGGTGACACTTTTAAGAATGATCTACAGTAAAATTGCAATAAATGATGGAGAACATCATGATCTATCATGATCTATCATGATCTATGGCATCCTGGAAAGACTTGACATGACTTGACTATCTTTTTGTTTTTCCCGGTGATCGCAATCACCAACCCGAGGCCCCCGAAAGGCCGTGTGCCCTTGGGGCCCTTGGACCTGGACGAATCAGAATGACATGAAAGAATTTTAAACCTATTTAAAACTATGTGGATTATCATGTACTATAATTAATCAATGTAGAACATATATATATATATAATTATATATATTTTATTACTAGACAACTATATATCAACTTGATTTTGGGAAATCGAATTTGATAGAATGCACAAGCTCGAATATACATGACGTACGATTTTTGGAAGACAGCACTATATTATATTTCCTCCCCCTGTTGTTTTGTTATTGTAGATTGCGGAGTGTAGGATGTGAATGTTGGAGTGTCGATTATGGAGCGTGGAGTATAGACTGAAGTGTGAAGTGCAGAGTATGGATTTTGGAGTACGGTGGAGTGTGGAGTATAGAATACGGAATATAAATTTCTCAAAGAAGGAATGCGGAATCTGGAATATTCTGGAATATAAAAAAGGTTTATAATATTTAAGGAAAAAACATATGAAATTTTGAATATAAAATAAAATATAATAAAATTGTACATTATATTTAAAAATATATATAATATATTTAAGGGCTGCCGCCCCTGCCGCCGACCCCGGAAGAATTGGTAAGCCATTAGAACGTATATATGGTACAGGCCTGCACCCCCCCCCCAAAAAAATGGGGAAAGGATGTTCCTGGGACAATTTTACACGTATTGTTGCTTGTTATGGTTTTTATATTAAAGGGGAACGTGCGTTTTTTGGTGTTGATGTTTTTTGTGATGTATATTGTAATATATTTTTGGTAAAAATGTTTATCCTAACCTTGTTGATTATTTTAGGGGAGTATTATTGATTGGGTTAGGATTTGTTGAGGTTGTTAGGGTTTTAAAGTTTTTATTTATTTAACTAAGATTTGAAAAGAAGGAAATATATTATTAAGATTGTTTATTATTTTTTGATAAGTTAACGGTTTTGTTACTTTTTTATTATTTGATTGTTTTTGTGTTTTTTTCCATTATTTTTTTGTTTTTGACCGGAATTGTTGGTTTGTGCTTATGGTTTTTTCTTTCCATTTTTTTTAGGATGGTATGTTTGACCACCCTTGCGTGAAACTTCGAAAAAATTACCTCCCCGAGGGGAAAACACCAGGGCTCTGAAGGACGAGCGAGTGCCAGAACCACGCCAAAAAAGTGCCTAACGTGTCGTCTGAAATCCTAGAAAAATCTAGATAAATCTAGATTAGATTTTTGGTAGGCTGCTGACTGCTACTGGCGCTGGCTGCTAGCTACTGGCTATGTGCACCTTTTGCGTGCTCTTGCCTACGTTCTTGACACCCATTAGTGCCATCCTAAAAAAACGCAATTTTTCGTGCTGCTAGCTGCTGCACTGCTAGCTGCTGCACTGCTACCATTGCGCTTACTGCTGCTGTGTCTGCTTGTCTCTGCTGCTGTGTCTGCTTGTCTCTGCTGCTGTGTCTGCTTGTCTCTGCTGCTGCCTGCTGCTGCCTGCTACCTGCTGCTGCCTGCGGGCAGCTCCCCTTTGCGTCGGCCGGTCCCGTCTGAAATCCCAGAAAAACAATTTTTTTCGAGAATTTCTGTTGCCTGCGGCCGCTCACAGGAAAATAATTTCGAAAAAAGCAGCTCCCGGCAGGAAAACACCATGGCTCTGAAGGACGAACTAGTTCCAAAACCACGCCAAAAAAGTACCTAATGTCCCTTCTGAAATCCTAGAAAAACAACCTTTTTCGAGAATTTCTGTTGCCTGCGGCCGCTCGCAGGAAAACAACTTCGAAAAATGCAGCCCCCGGCAGGAAAACACCATGGCTCTGAAGGACGAACTAGTTCCAAAACCACGCCAAAAAAGTGCCTAACGTCCCGTCTGAAATCCTAGAGAAACAACCTTTTCGAGAATTTCTGTTGCCTGCGGCCGCTCGGAGGAAAACAACTGCGAAAAAAGCAGCTCCCGGCAGGAAAACACCATGGCTCTGAAGAACGAACTAGTTCCAAAACCACGCCAAAAAAGTACCTAACGTCCCGTCTGAAATCCTAGAAAAACAACCTTTTTCGAGAATTTCTGTTGCCTGCGGC